CAGTGACTTTAGTTCAGCTCATTTATTGATTCCCGAGATCGGCTCAGGTCCGAAAGAAAAGCGGCGGCTTTTATTCTTTGGCTGCGGCGGCCGCGGCCAATGGCACCGCTTTGAATCTCCCGCGATTAGTTTCCACCAATCACGGGAGATTCGAGGCGGGCCAATCCGTGCGGTTCGCTCGACCAATCAGCTCGCCGTGCGTCTTGGCCAATCACTGCGCGGTTCTACAAGAATGGTAATGACCGTACAGAACACCCCTCCCCTCTTGGTAGGGTCCTACGTAACGTAGTCCCATAAGTAGGCGGGGCTACGTACTTGTCTACTTGACCTGCGCAGGTTAGTTGGTGCTTGGCTCCCGGCCGGTTCGGTCGGGTCCTGTGTTGCTCTCTGCCCTGTCGATGGAACCGTCTGGAAGGCTGAGCCGGGCCTTTCGTCGCAGCTCCCTCCGGTCCCTACCCGGTCTGGTTGAGCTGCGGTTTCCGCTCCCGCCTGGTCTTTCCGGGCTGGTTGAGCTGGCCTGGCTGCTTCTCCCTGGTGAGGTGTCGAGCTGGCTGCTTTCCGGTGAGTATTCCTGGTTTCTTTCTTGTGGGTTTTGGTCCCTGGGGCCTTCCCTCCCCTCTTGGTTTGTGTTGGGGGGGTTCCCTTCTGTGTTTGCTTTTGTTTGCGTGTCGGTTGTGTTTCCCGTGGCTATTCTTGACCTTAATTGGTCGATGTGTCGTTTCCATGCTCGTCCGTCGGTTGTCTGTAAGCGGTACGATCTTGGACCTGTCACTTGGGTTATGGTTGCTGGTATCCAGAGTGGGTCTCCGGTGAGGTTTTTCGCGTATACTGCGTCGCCTGTTTTAAATATTCAGTCTTTGCTTGAGGAGTTTGGGGGTTTTTCTGGGTTGTATGTGGGGTGCAGTCTGTCGAGTGGGGACCTTAATTTTCTCCCCATCAGTAGTTCTGCCGGGCTTTTATTGGTTGTTGTATTCGGGGTTATGTGTTGTATGAAAAGCATTTTGTTTATTTTCTCTTGGATTTCCCCGTTTTCTATCTTTTGGAAAGTTTTTTTTTTGTAAATTGAACTATCCGTTCCGCCCTCCTGTTCGCCGCCGGATGTGCCGGCACTGTCAACGCGTGTCGTATCCCCCGCTCCGCTAGGAATTTTTCGAATTCCAGCGAGGTAAATTGGGGCCCGTTGTCGGATACGATGATGTCTGGGAGGCCGTGGGTTGCGAATAGTTTGCTGAGTTCCTTGGTGACGGCCTCCGTGGTGGTAGTTCTCATGTTGCTTACCTCCAACCAGTTGGAGTAAGCGTCTACCGTGATGAGGAAAGTGTGGCTTTTCGTGGGCCCGGCAAAATCTATGTGAATCCTGGACCATGGTCCCCTAGGGGTTTCCCATTCCAGGATTGGAGCGGCAGGAGGGCTGGGCCTGGTTTCCTGGCATCTGTTGCATGCTGCCACCCAGGCCTCGATTCGTTTGTCCATTCCTGGCCACCAGGCGTAACTTCTGGCCAAGGCCTTTGTCCTAACGATGCCTGGGTGCCCCTCATGCAACAATTCCAATACCTTTCCCTGTAATTTTTCCGGAATAACAACCCGGTCCCCCCAAAGTAAACAACCTTTTTGTAATGGCAGTTCTGTTTGCCGGTTTCGGAATGTCTTGAAGGTTTCGTCGACGTCCTTTTCGGGCCACCTTTTCTCTACCCAATGTAATACCTGCGCCAGACGTTTGTCTTTATTGGTTTCACGGGCAATGTCTGACGCGGTTATGGGTAGGTCGGGCAGAGTCTCTATGCTAAGGGTGGCCGTCGTGGGTTCTGGGTCGGTGTCCAAGTCCGGTAGCGGCGTGCGGCTCAGGGCGTCTGCGTGGGTGATTGTCTTACCGAGTCGGTGTGTAAGCCGGTAGCTGTAGGCGGCAAGAAATTTGGACCACCTTGTCATTCTTGGGGATAGAATGTTCGGGGTGGCCCTGTTCCCTGCCAGGATTCCCAGCAGTGGCTTGTGGTCGGTGACGATGGTGACGGTCCGGCCGTAGATGTACTCGTGGAACCTTTTGACGGCGGCAACGATAGCCAGGGCCTCTTTGTCTAGCTGACTGTAGTTTCTTTCCGGTTTGGTGAGAGTCCTTGAGAAGAAGGCGATGGGTGCTTCTTTTCCATCGGGGAGAGTGTGGCTGAGGACGGCACCGACGCCAAAGGGTGATGCGTCGCATGTGACAGCTAGCGGTAGGGTCTCGTTGTATTGGATGAGGACGGCATCCGAGGTGAGCAGGTCCTTGGTTTTGTTGAAGGCGGCTTCCTCGCATTTCCCCCAAGTCCACGGGGCCGCCTTGTCCAGGAGTCTATGCAAAGGCTCCGCCGCGGTCGCCTTCTGGGGCAGGAAAACATTGTAAAAATTAAGCAGTCCTAGAAATGCCTGTAGTTCCGTTTTATTCTTCGGCCTGGGGGCTTCCTTGATTGCTCTGATTTTTTTCTCGGTTGGGTGAATTCCGTGCCGATCTAACAGGTACCCCAGGAACTCGACCCTCTCGGTGTGTAATTGGCATTTCTCTTTTTTAACCTTCAGCCCCGCATTTTTGAATTTTGTTAGGACCTCCCTGAGGCGACCCTCCAGTTCTTTTTGGTTGGCTGCCGACACCAGCACGTCGTCGAAGTAGGGTACCACCCCTTTGATTCCTTGCAGGAGTCTCTCCATGAGGCTCTGGAAAATTCCTGGGGCTACGCTGACTCCAAACTGGAGTCTCTTACAGTGGAAAGCCCCCCGGTGGGTTACTATGGTTTGCGCCTCGGCGGTTTCTGCGTCGACCGGCAGCTGCTGATAGGCTTGCGCCAGGTCGAGCTTCGCAAAGACCTTGCCTCCCCCCAGTGAGTGTAAGAGGTGTTGCACTACTGGGACGGGGTAGGCGCTCTGCTGCAATGCACAATTGAGGGTGGCCTTATAGTCCCCGCAGATTCTCACCGACCCATCGGGCTTGACTGGGGTGACTATGGGGGTCTCCCATTGGGCATGGTTGATTGGCTCGAGGACCCTTTGTCTGATGAGCTTGTCTATTTGCTCATCGATTTTTGGCCGGAGTGCGAATGGTACCCGCCGTGGTTTCAGGCGTATTGGGGGAACGCTGGGGTCTAGGCTGAACAAAATAGGGGGCCCTCGGTACTTGCCTAGGGTGCCGTCGAACACTTCCTGGAAGTCCCTTGCGAGTTGGTCCTCCCAGTCGGCCTCCCCGATGTGGTCGATGCCCGTTACTTCGATTCCGAGCGGCGCGAACCACTGCAGTCCCAAAAGGCTGGGGCGGTCTCGGTCCACGATCGTCAGGGGAAGCCTTGCTGTGCGCCCTTTGAAAGTTACCTCGAACTGGCCTGTTCCGACTACCGGTATGCGATTCCCCTGGTAGTCCTTGAGGATTAGGCTCTGGCTTTCCAGTCCTCTCCTGTGGATTGTGGGTACCAGACGCTTGATTTCCTGCCATGCAACCATGGAGAGGTAGGACCCGGAGTCCACCTCCATCTTGCATGGCTTGCCCTCGATGCCCACTTCCACATATACTTTCCGGGCGTCTGTGCTGGATGAGTGGCCGATGACAACCGTCTGGTGGGTTTCCTCTCTCCGCCGGTTCCCGCCGTCTCGTCGGCCCCATCCGTCTCGGCTCCATCGGTTTTCAGCTTGGCGGTCTCTGGGCCTGGGGGGGGTGCCGTTTCGTCTCCAGTCGCTGCCGTCTCGCCGCCGGGGGCTGTAGTTCTTCTTGAGTCGGCAGACTCGGGCGATGTGGCCTCTTTTATCACAGTGCCGGCATATTGCATTGAAAAATCGGCACTCCGATCGAGGGTGGTCGCCTCCACACCCGGCGCACAGTTGCCCTGACTTACGACTCCGTCGATCGCGCCGGTCTCGATCCGCCTGGAGCCGATGCACGTCCTCTTCCTCGTCCGTGGTGTCGGAGGTGGAGTCGAGGTCGCCATGGTGTGTGGTGGTCTCTTGGTGGCTTGCTTTGGAGCGCGTCTCGGTGGCCATGCCTGCTTCGGTTGTCGGGTTGTGGTCCCCAGTGTCGGGCCTCCGCATTCGAGCCGCCGATTTCCGGGTTGCCTCGGCTGCGGTGGCGTCTGCAAGGACGTCGGCGAGGGCGATGTCGCCTTTTGCCATCAGCCGGCTCTGGAGGACTGGGTCTCTGAGCCCCAGGACGACGCGGTCTCGGAGTGCCTCGTCCATATCCGTAAACCCACACATGCCTCCAAGATTTCGCAGGTGAGCCACGAAGTCGCTGATGCTCTCGCCCGCTCGCTGGTCTCGCCGATAGAAGTCGTGCCGCCTGATGAGGGTGGGCACGTCGGGGGCATAGTGGTTTCGGAGCAATGGCTCGAGATCGGCCCAGTCCATCGTTTTTACGTCCTCGGGTTTCGCAAGGACTTTCGCCATCTTAAACACTGCGGGCCCGCAGTGTGTGAGGAAGACAGCTCTTTTCTTTTGCCCGTTTGCATCCTTTAGATTGCTACTTTCGAGGAACATCAGGAATCGGTCGGTGTACGATTCCCAATCCTCAGTAGCCGGGTTAAAGGGTGCGGGCGGGACGATGCTGGCCATCTCGTCGGTCTCGTTTCCTCAGGACACGTGCTCGATGGGGATCAGGGTTGGGATCCCACCTTCGTCGCCAGTGTTGCGTCCGTCGCAAGGAACGAGACTCGGAGCCAGTGACTTTAGTTCAGCTCATTTATTGATTCCCGAGATCGGCTCGGGTCCGAAAGAAAAGCGGCGGCTTTTATTCTTTGGCCGCGGCGGCCGCGGCCAATGGCACCGCTTTGAATCTCCCGCGATTAGTTTCCACCAATCACGGGAGATTCGCGGCGGGCCAATCCGTGCGGTTCGCTCGACCAATCAGCTCGCCGTGCGTCTTGGCCAATCACTACGCGGTTCTACAAGAATGGTAATGACCGTACAGAACAGCTTCTGTGAAATCTGGCTTCATCTTGCTGAAAACCTGCCTGAAATGATACAAACAATACAAACATTTTACTTACTTTAGACAGTTTCAAAGGCTGCCCGGTGACTCCAGTGAGATCGGCATGATCAGTAAAGATTTCAGTAATACCGAGCTGGGAGAGGGGTTCCTTTAAGCTGTACGTGGCTGAAATACTAAACTTGGGGATGGAGACCGATGCTGTAGCCCTTCAGAAAGACAGAAAGACATTTTCACTCTAGATGCCGCAAAGTTAAGAAGGACACCCAGTAATATCAGTAAAACACAAACAACAGAGTTATTGATTTTTGGTACAGTATTAGTTCCTATCATAACAACTGTTATCAATCTGTTTAAAATATTTGAGTGGAATCAACAGGCATTGTTGTCAAAATGAATATCAGACTTGATTGATTGATTGAATGAATGTATAGGCTGCCCAACCACCATATGACTCTAGGTGGCTTACAACTAAACTAAAATAGTAAGAAAGATTCTTACTATTGGAAAAAGCATGGGAGATATTTTCCTTCTCTTGGATAAAATCAGAATAATTCTACAAAAGATTGGGGGTTTTTTTAACCCACAAATTTGATTGAGACATTTAAATGACTTATTTATGATTAGTTCACATCTGAAATCAATGGAATAACGGTTAGTCCAATATTACATTTATTTTCAGGATCTTAGCTCATCTTGCACATTTCCATTTATCAACTTTAAAGGAGGAAAAGTTGGTAACATATAACATAATCAACTGACCAGAACTGCAAACTTTCGAAAGAACCTGCCCCCTCCACCCAAGGAAATTTACTGTTGTATTTGCAAACAGCCGCTGTCTGAGGCAGTTGCTAAACAAGTAGTCATGTCCTGTATTATGGACATGACTACTGATTGCCTAAATAGACTGCTTGTATGCTCCCCTCCCCCTCCATTGTTGTGTAGAAAGATTGCTTAAGCAAGCAAAGGAAAAGGGGAAAAAATTTACAGTGATGTCCTGTGGTCATGCGGGTGGCATTTGTGTCCTTCACAGCCAGCATCCAACAAGCAAGTCAAGCTGACAAGATGTCTGAAGTCACAAGGTGATTAGCTTAATAGATGCAGCTGGAATTGATGAATTGACATTATAAATTAGGCACGGTCTGATTTTCACTTTACAATAGAATTGCCAGTCCAAATTATGATCGGTGAGTACTACCTGTAATTGGAATATTCATTTGATTCAGATTGTGCTTTTGATCCAATTCAGGTTATCTATTTGATCTGGCAAATGGAATTAATTTGCAATGCCTGAATGGAAGATAAAAATCTACAAGATGTTCACCATGGTGTCAAATCCCCACTACTTTTAATAAATGCAGATAAAGGGAGGATGATCACACTCACACTACCATCTTGTAGACCCAGAAGTTGGCCTTCCTGAGATTAATTAAAATACAGGAATAAAACAGAAAAGATTGCAAGAAACTAGTGGAGTATCAGAGTATTACGAAGGGATCAAGCACAACATTGTAAGGCCAAATGGGACCTGGGCAAATATATATTTATATTTTTTATGTAGAGGAGATAGGGAGCTACTGCCCTCTGCTTTATTCTTGGTGTGAGGCTTTTGAGGTAGGTTTGGCATCTCCTCACCAAAGCCCCCTCCTTCTATCATCATTCAGTCCTCTAGGATATTCTCTCACCACTTTGGAATAACAGTGCAGAATTTTCCACAGGAACATATCAATCTCTGAATGGCATGTCTCGAACTATTTTGCAAACACATGTGGTAACATGTAACAAGCAGGAAGGAAGAATAATTGTTAATATGACTAAGAACTAATGAGCAAATTTCCACTCTCATACACGGGGACAATATCAAGAGATGCACCTGAAACTCTAGAGAAACATGCACAGCCCTAGGTTGCTGGTCTCTAACTTAAAATCAACTCTCTGCAATTATTCTGGAAAAGCATAGCAAAGAATGCACAGGCACTGAAATATTTTTACCAGGGGTGGGATTCTACCAGTTCGGACCGATTCTATAGAACCGATTGTTATGATTCTGCGCAGTTCAGAGAACCAGAAAATCATGCCCCTGATTGGCCTTGCCCCTCTCCGCCATCCCGTCCCCTCCCTGTCCAGTCACTCCTTAAGGTATTTCTATATTTCCCTCCCAATGATCAGCTGTTCCAATGATCAGCGGTCCCGGGATCTCCCTCACTGTTTTACTGCTCTGCCCAGGAGACTTCCCTGGGGCCTAGGAGGCAAAAAGGCATGCACAGGTTTTTTGTTTTTGCTGCGCACCCCCCCCTCTGTTTTTGGCCTCCTGGGCCTCAGGAAAGCCCCCCCCCCCCGAGTCTTCCCTGAGGCTCAGGAAGCCAAAAAAAGGAGTGTGGGGGGTGCTGGAAAAAAAGAGAAGAAGCCACACCCACCCAGTCACATGGCCATGACCACCTAGCCACTTCTAACGAGCCATGCCCACAGAACTGGTAGTAAAAATATTTGCATCCCACCCCTGATTTTTACGCATTTTTAAAGAATATGCTAACTACAGAGAAATATAGAAGCAGTAAAAAGAAATGTTACCTGTGTACATTATTTGCCCATTTTTTCAGACTTTCTACTGACAGATTTGCATCCAATTCCCTCTCTTTTCCAGGATCAGGCAAAACAAAAAAGGTGGTGGCTGTACCATTGTAGTCTATCTTCAGTACTGTGCAAGATAGCTGCTCATCAAAATAGTAGTAGAACCAACCGGTCCTGTGCATCATTTGGACTTTGACAGTTGTGTTGTGATCCACAAAGAAGTCCTCTTCCCTTGTGAACGCTGGATCAAAAGGAGTCTTCCAGTTGCCTAAAGAGAACAAAAAAGACCCATAGTCGTATCTGAATAAGCGTATCAAACCTGCAGGAGGCGAATTAGGTTCACCCTCAAGAAGATGCTGTGCAAAGAGGTGGTATAATTTAACTAGTAAGATGCTCTGCATTCATTTGCTTATGCTGACCAGCACTTGCAAAGCTGGGACCGATTTCTGCACACCCACAGCATAAATACTGGTCAGGCAGTGAAGCAATGCAGCTGCTGTATTGGTGTCAGAAGAAAATGGCCAGGTACCTTCTTTCATGATACATTTTACTTCAGCCTTGGTTGAAGATAAAAACACCCATTCTAAATTCTGCACAGCCCTATGGACTTATATGCTATTCAGATAGAGAGAGGGGTCGCCTGTGATCTTACATTAAGCAGATTTCTTTAAAGCAGTCTATTTGTTTCATTTTGTTTTCAAACTCTACGAGGGTGCATTTTAATTGCATTTGTAATCCAGAAGAACTGGAATAATGGCTACTATTCAGACATAATTTAAGTTATACCGCTTTAGGTGGCTTCCTATTAGGTGCTTTTAAAACACTGGAACAATTATTCCTAAAATGGTTCCACAGAAATGAAAAACTGTTTCATACAACCCGTAGTAGTGAAGTATTTATATGTGAGTATAACTTGCATGCATGCATGAATACACACATAGGCTCACCCACCCACCTACCCACTTAAATTTCTGTACTGGGCTAGTTTTCAAGTGAAAACATTTTGTGTTGATTGGAAATTATCTTTTTCTGGACTTGCTGCTTGGAGCAATTCCACCCCTCTTTCTCCAAACTTAAACAGCTGTCTCAAATAACATATTTGGACATTTCCTTTCATTAAGGAATATCTCTGTGAAGGTTACCTCTAAAGTATATGTAGTTTGTGAGAACAAAGACTGTTTCTGGGTCAAGATCCTTGACTAGTTCTGCAATTTTCCCATGTGTTTTTTTCTTTATATAATCATTGATCTGCTTTTCAGCTGCTTTTGGTTCCTGAAACTTGGTGGTTTGGATTTCTGCTTCATAGAGTTCCTTAATCTTATCTAAAAATGTCTGCAATGGCTGTATGCCTTCCTTTAAAAACAGGGCCTGCCCAATATCCAGCTTGTAATCCTTCTCGGAATGCGTAAGCACATGGAGAAGTTCATGAAGCCCCTGGTGGATCTCATCTTCCTGAATGTGTGTCAGGTTAAAGCCAAGGCCATTTAAAATCTCTGCATGAGTGTTGGAGTCTGTCCCTAATAACAGAACTGAAAGCAACATAAAAATGCTGCAGGGTGAGAAAACAAGGTTCTCTTCATGTGATCTTGCAGCCAGGATTTTGTAGAGTTCAATGGCAAAATCATCAACATTGCGCTGGATCTTGATAGCAGCCTTGGGGTCATGATGATCGTGGGGATGATCGACATCATGGTGGCCATGGCTGACGAGAGAAAACACCATCAAGGCCAAGCTCAGATGAATGATTCTGTTCATCTTGCTGATAATTTTTTCTGCAAAGAAAAATAGGGATAAAGAAGAGGGATTTTATTTTATTATAAACTGTGTTTCTAAAACACCTTTTTCAGTTACAGTTTTATGGGTGTTTTGGCTTCTAGATGAAAGTCAGCATAAAAGGATGTTGATGATAAATTGTTATGTTTAGTAGTCTTTGAGTTATCACCGTAATAGAACCTGCTCGTTAGGGCTGAAATTCAGGGCAAATGTTAAATGAACTGCCTCAAGTAATGGAGAGCCATCCCTACGGTCCCCGATGCATATGTTAAATAAATGAGTGGGTCATTAAGTGGAGCATGGGGTGCCTCAGGGATGGGACTCCTCCTGGGAGGATTACTGAAGCCACAAGCCCACCTGCTTCAGGTCTCCCAAAGCGTCCTCTCTGCCGTGCTCTGCTTCCTGCCTCTTGGGTGGCTCTCACACATTCCCACCCAAATGCTGACTATCTTGCCAGTGAGAAAAAATGGTGAAGGAAGGTTCTACTTTTTGCCAAGTTGTATCTGCCTTTCTGGGGCAAAAAAATACTACCCTAGATTTTCAGAACAAAATTATCTGCTACAATGTCCTACCAGTCAATGACTACTTCAGTTTCAACCACAACAATCCAAGAGCACACAACAGATACAAACTCAATGTAAACTGCTTCAAACTTGATTGTAGGAAGTACGACTTCAGCAACAGAGTGGTCAATGCCTGGAATGCGCTACCTGACTCTGTTTTTACATCCTCTAACCCCCACTCCTTTAACCTCAAACTAACCACTATTGATCTCACCCCATTCCTAAGAGTTCTGTAAGGGGCATGCGTAAGTGCCCCATTGTGCCTTCCGTTCCTGTCCTACTGTCCCCATTTATTCGTACCTATTTCCTGTATTCTTACTCATGTTTATACTTATACCTATTATCCTGTAAGTGATTGACAAATCAAAATAAATAAATAAAATAAATAAAAATGTTCTGCCCTGATCAGCTGGTGGAATGGAGACTGGAAACCTCTCCTACTTCTTGTTAGTCTTTGGGAAACCAGATCTTGCACTCTCAGGCAGAAGCTTTAGGACAAGTTCCCCCAAACCTTTCCCTTGTGCTTCGTTCTGGGAAACAAACACACAAACAGAGGTTGTGTGTTGCTCAGTCTTTATTTAAAGTTTCAGGCACTTTAAATGTGACTGCTCAGCTCAGCCGTGAGGCAACAGCTGTTGGCCTGTTTGACAGCTCCTTTAATACTGAGCTGTCAAACTGGTGACCAATCAGGTGTGGCTGAGTGCCCCCTGCTGGAACAGACCAGAGGGAGAACTGAAGACATAGCACCTTGCTTTAATGCTTTCCCTCCAGCAGAAAGCAACATTTGTTCAATAACAAATACAAAAAACAAATATAAAACAAAAGGGAAGGGGAAACTCGTTGATTTGCACACACACCCATTCAAAATTAGAAGCTAAAATAGGAAACTCTCCACCTGTGCATGTGCAGCCCTTAGGGTCAGTTTCAAGCAACCTCTGTGAATACCACACTGACCAGACATAGCAAAAGCATCAGGAGCAAGATAAGCTGAAGTTTCTTCTGCACCTAAAGCATGGGGACAAAACCAGCAAGGCAAACTAAGAACTCAAGGCAGGATGACAGCAAAGTGAATAAATGAACTTCTGACAGGTAAACAGCAAGGTGAACTAGTGAATAGATGTTTGTGCAGGTAAGATTATCAACCTTGATGCCAACCAAAACCAAGCATTTAATAGTGAGTGCCATACCATGTGCACTAATCAAACAGGTGGCAAGAAAGTAGGGACAGGCAGGCACAACACAGGTTATGTAGATAGTAAACACAGTGTCAGACATAAAGATCTCAAGTGCCTATATACAAATGCACAAAGTCTGGGGAACAAACAGGGTGAACTCGAACTACGAATACATGAAGGTAAATATGATATAGTTGGAATAACAGAAACTTAGTGGGATGAAACCCATTACTGGAACATACTGGTAGAAGGATACAATCTATTCAAAAAAACCGGACCCCATAAAAGAGGAGGTGGAGTTGCACTGTATGTAAAGGACCAATATATTGCTACAGAAATGCATGAAACCAAAGATGAAAGCCTCCTAGAATGCATATGGGTCAATATAAAAGAAAAAAAGAATGACATGGCCATAGGTGTATATTATAGGCCACCCAATCAAGCAGAAAATATGGGTGTCCTTTTTGCCAGCCAACTAACAAACATATGCAGGAAACACACAACAATAGTAATGGGAGACTTCAATTATCCTGATATCAATTGGAAAACTAATTCTGCACCAAGTAAGAAATCAAATTAGTTCCTAACCAACCTAGCTGACAACTTTGTTGTCCAAAAGGTAGAGGGTGAAACTAGAGGGACAGCCATACTGGATTTAATTCTTACAAACAGAGAAGAAGTGATAGAGGGAGTTGAAACTGCAGGAACCTTGAGTGAGAGTGACCATGTCATACTAGAATTCAACATAACACAAACACAAGCAACAGAACATAATGACACCAGAGTCTTGGATTTTAAAAGAGCTGATTTCAATAAACTCAGAGAGAACTTGGGAAAGATTCCATGGATGAAAATCCTAAAGGGGAAAACAACTTAAGAATCTTGGGAAACTCTAAAAAGTATGATCATAGAAGTCCAGACCAGCACAATACCACTGAGAAAGAAAAACAAGAAATCCAAGAAGAAACCAGCATGGCTGCACAAAGATCTCTCTGGCAAATTGAAAGAAAAAAAGGACAAGTACAAAAAATGGAAAGAAGGACATACAACTAACGCAGAATATCAGCAGATAGCCAGAATCTGCAAAGACGAAGTCAGGATAGCAAAGGCTCAGAACGAACAAAGATTTGCAACAAAAGTCAAAGATAATAAAAAAGTTTCTTCCAACATATAAATAACAAGAAAAAAATCAAGGAAACAGTCGGTCCACTAAAGAGAGAAGATGGCAAGGAAGTAACAGGCAACACAGAGAAAGCAGAACTGCTTAACTCATTCTTTGCATCCGTCTTCACGCAAAAAGAAACTATAGCTCAACCCACCAAAAACATAACTGTAAAAGACAGACTAGAAATAAAAGTTAAAATAAGCAAAAAAATAGTAAGAGAATTCCTGTCTGATCTTGATGAAAACAAATCACCGGGGCCTGATGGATTACATCCCAGAGTTTTAAAGGAGCTGGCAGAGGTAATCTCAGAACCACTGCGCCATATCTTTCAAAAATCCTGGAGCACCGGAGAAATACCAGAGGACTGGAAAAGAGCTGATGTGATTCCCATCTTCAAAAAAGGAAAAAAAACAGACCCACGAAACTATAGACCAATCAGCCTAACATCAATACCTGGGAAGATACTGGAAAAGATAATAAAAAAACAGATCTGCCAACATCTAGAAACAAATAAAGTAATAACTAGCAGTCAGCACAGGTTCATTAAAAACAGATCATGCCAAACCAATCTTATTTCATTCTTCAACACAGTGACTAAATTAGTAGACCAGCAAAATACTGTGGACATAATATATTTAGATTTCAGCAAGGCATTCAATAAAGTAGACCACAACCTACTTCTTAGTAAGCTAGAAAAAAGTGGAATAGATAGCACCACCACTAGATGGATTCGCAACTGGCTGGCAAACCGTACTCAACGAATAGTCCTTAATGGGTCTAAGTCTACATAGAGGGAAGTAAGCAGTGGGGTGCCACAAGGTTCCGTCTTAGGCCCAGTACTCTTCAATATCTTCATTAACGACTTAGATGAGGGAATAGAAGGGGAACTTATCAAATTTGCAGATGATACTAAACTGGCAGGAATAGCTAACAACCAAGAAGATAGGCTCAGGATCCAGACGGATCTTGACAGACTAGAACACTGGGCCATATCTAATAAAATGAAATTCAATATAGAGAAAAGTAAAGTCCTACACTTAGGCAAGAAAAACCAAAAGTACACATATAGACTGGGTGAAACCAGGCTCAATAGCAGTAACTGTGAGAGGGATCTTGGAGTCTTAGTGGACAACCAGCTAAATATGAGCCAGCAGTGTGCAGCAGCTGCCAAAAAAGCTAATGCAATCCTAAATTGTATTAACAGAGGGATAGAGTCAAGATCAAGGGAAGTACTAATACCACTCTATAAAGCCTTAGTAAGACCACACCTAGAGTATTGCATCCAGTTTTGGTCACCACATTATAAAAAAGATGTTGAGACTCTAGAAAAAGTACAGAGAAGAGCAACCAAGATGATTAGGGGACTGGAGGCTAAAACATACAATGAACGGTTGCAGGAACTGGGCTTGGCTGGTCTAGTAAAGAGAAGGACCAGGGGAGACATGATAGCGGTCTTCCAATATCTGAGGGGCTGCCACAGGGAGGAAGGGGTCAAGCTATTTTCTAAAGCTCCTGTAGGCCAGACAAGGAATAATGGATGGAAACTGAACAAGGAGAGATTTAACCTGGAAACAAGGAGAAACTTTCTGACAGTGAGAACAACCAACCAATGGAACAGCTTGCCCTCGGAAGTTGTGGGAGCGCCATCACTTGAGACTTTCAAGAAGATATTGGACTGCTATTTTTCAGAAATGGTGTAGGGTCTCCCGCTTGGGCGGCGGGGGATTGGACTAGATGACCTACAAGGTCCCTTCCAACTCTGATTATCTGTAATCTGTAATCTGAATTCCAAGCAAGATGATTGTAGCTGCTGATTGCAAGGCCCAATGAAAGCAACCACAACTCTCCAGATGTCAGTGCAGGTAACACAATTTCAACAGGTTCAAAGCAGCTCAGTTCCAATGGTTCCATGGCATGAGGACAACGTGGCTTCCATGGATCCAAGGCATAAAAAAAAACCATGATCTCTACAAGTTTAAAGCAACGAGTCAAGAGCATTCATGAATCAAGAGATTATGGAGATTATGGAAGGTGTCCCCAACAGCCACCAGGGTCAAAATGCCAAGGTAAATAGGCGCTGACTGAGTGGCTCATTA